AGCAATTAGATTTCACCTCCTTCCCCTCCCAATCCCTTCTCCTATGAACCCCATATTTTGCCTCAACCACCTTATTCCATAAAGCATCTTTTTCTACCACTAGTCTCCATCGCCACTTTCCTAAGATTGCCCAATTAAATCTATCTAAATCCTTAACACCTAGACCTCCCTCCTTTTTATTTCTACATACTTTATCCCATTTAACCCATGCTATCTTCCTAACACCCTCTCCACCCCCCCATAAAAATCTTTTTTGTAATTTTGTTTTTACTTAATATTTTTTACATCTGATTATGAGTTATATAAGAGGGGATAACCTTCCTTATTCTTATCCTTATCCACCTGACTTAAGGTTAAAACTTGAAATTTTTGATTTGAAGTTTTAAACTCTTAACTGTTAAATTACCTTATTGAGATTGTCTTTAAATAATTACTCAAACACGTAAAGTGGAGAAATGAGAGAAGATGAGTATTGCTTTAAGAGTAAATTGGATAAAATAAAGATAACTTTTTGTGATTATTCACACTTTTGATTTTAGAGGAATAGAAGAAAGGGAGAAATGAAGCACCATACCACAACTTTACAAGTAGGGCTGATATATAATTTGTAAGTTACAACTAAGAAAACCAAGAAAATACATATTAAATCGAGCACCACAACCATACAAGCAGAGCTGACTTCCAAGCTGTGGAGGGCAAAAGAGATAGATATATACATGTTTTTTTGTTACTTTCAATGCAGCTCTATGCCTAAGAAAACTAGTCGTAGCAGTAGTAGGCTACTATTTTTATTTTGCAGTACATAGTTTATGGGGCTATTAGCATGGTTTTACCTTTACCAATAGTGCTCCTCACCAGTAATAACATCCCCTTCTGCAGGAATTTCGGTTACCTTGTGGACATACCATATCCCAGTACCATTGCCTTTGATTTCTGATTCTTTTGGCCTGGCAATTGGCTGATATGAATTCCACCCGTCATGGCCCCGAGTTGTTGGAATCAAATTGCTGCTATCTTTTGATGCTGGAAATGGTGCTGGATACGCTTGTTTTGCCGCAGGAACTTGACAAACATAAGTTGTTGAATTAATACCTTGCAGCTCCTGCAACACTGTGTTAGTCTTAGGTCTCTGATAAACATACGTGCAATCCAAGCTGCTGAGATACTCAGGTTTCTCAACAGGAGGAGGATGCCTGATGGCTGGGACTGGCCTGCCCCTGGTCCAGCCATGGTAGGTCTCTATGAGTTGGAAGCCTTCCTTTCCAACCTTGAGAAGATGATCTTTCTGATATGCCATGGTTTTTCCTGATTCTATGCAGTAAACAAGAATGAGTCTTGTTTTACGGTGACCTTAGTTAAAAGGGGAAGATCACATTATATAGTGCGGAAAAAGCTGTGCTAGTGAACTGCAGAAGATTCTAAGCAATCCTCTCAGTTCTTACTTCAAGGGTTTGTTCCCTAGCATAAAAGAAAAGGAATAAAACTTGGGAACCCAAACTTTCTGTGATTCCAATCTTGATTAACAATACAGTGAAATTGATAAAGTCTTGATATGATTTGTCCTGTGAGACTCCTTTATGGTCGGTTTTCTGGCTTTCTCAATTGTGGTACCAACTGCCAATTGCGGTACCAACTGCCAATTGCGGTACCAACTGCCAATTGCTAAGCCAATACGATGAGGCCATAGGATATGGTGATGTTTGATTGTATGCTAGGTTTAGGTATTAGTTTTTAGAATAGCTTTCTTTGTTACCAAAGAACAGAGTTAAGTTCGCACCTTTGTAACTCTTGAAATCGTCCGGGGCATCCGCACCTTTCCAGCAAAAAGGGCAGACCCTCCTCATCGATCAGGATGAAGACCCCTGAATACCTCTAGATTTAGTGGATTGGAGTTTACCTTTAGTCATTTGATATTTCTTTAGAATTCCTTGTAATCTGAATTATATTATATTATTATAAAATAAAAATTATAAAATATTCTAATATCTGAGAGTGAGTTCCTGTATAATGATTTATATAATTTAAATTGTGAGATTAGCATATTAATTCTAATATATCCTTACCACAGTCATTCATATAATGATTGTGTTCATATAAGACTGGACAAGATAAGACAAGAAGCCTTTCTAGACAGTTTATACCTTTGTTTCACACTTAGCATAAAGAACTTAATTTGGGTCTGACGGCCTTTATTCGCTGATTTTTATCAATTCACAATTTTACATGGCCTGTTTTCTCCTTTTTTTCTACTCCACACTCAAGTTTCCAGCCGGCAGAAGGATTCAGAGAAATGGAACAACATAGACGAAATTTCGTTGAGATTTTGGTTTCTTTTTAGTGAGTTCATGTACATTAAATTAACTTATCATTTACTTTTGTTGTGGTTTCTAGTTTTAAGTCTTGATTTTTATAAAATTTATAATCATTTAAAATCAAAATTAAAATTAAAAAAATTAATAATTTATTTGAAAGAAGTTCAAATATTGACATTAAAAATATAAATTTATTTAATAATATTAAACTATTTTTATTTTTATTTCTCTAATAGTTTTAATAATATGTGGTAAAAATATATGAAATTAAATTATATTTTTATTTAGAATTACAAAATTTATAAAAATCAATAATTAAAAAAACTACAATCATATTAAATCAAGTCTAATAATTTATGGTTTAAGTATCATTTTGGTCCCTCAACTTTTCACTTTAGCACCAAAATTGTCCCTTAACTCTAAAAAGTACCAAATTTATCCTTAAACTTTCGTTTTCGATACCACAATGGTCCTTTTGTCAGTTAAATAACAGGTAACACGTTAACTTGTCAGCAGATCAAATTCTTTTTTTGCTTAACTAATGACATGGGAAAAAAAAAGTATTGTTGATCATTTTTTGTATGAGTTGATATTTTTATTTAATTTAAAAATAAAAATTTTTTTTTTTCACCCATGTCAGATTTCTTTTTCCTCTTCTTCCTTTCTCAAACCCAGATTTGAGTTTTTCTCAAACCTAGAAAAAAAATTAATGCATTATTTTCACTTATTCTTCTTCTTATTCTCTCTCTCTTTCTTCTCCTTTCTTCTTCCTTTCTCCTTCTTTTTCCTTTCTCAAACCCAGATCTGGGTTTCATCACATAAATTAACAATCTAATGAAATTGATGATAATAAAAAAAAGCGATACAAATCATTCCATCATATTAAACAAGGCACATCTGCGGTCTTATCATCTGCTGCGGACTTATCATTCCACCCCTTTTCTCGATCTTAGACAGCAACCTAGCAAGAGTGAAGCACTTCACTCATACAATAAACGAACAATCGAATGAAATGAGCAGAATTTATAATTAGTAGCTGAGAAACAAAATTCCCTAATCTAGGAAAAAGAAAACTATGCATGTTTGTGATAGACACTAACAAAAGCTTCAAATGCAAAAAACTAGTAAGATTCAGTCAATCAATTGACAATATCAATAAAAACACATCATGAATGGGAAGAGTAGAAGAAATTATAAGTTAGATAAAAACATTTACAAGTAGAGAATGAGCAAGAGCTGGAAGACAATACCAGATGGAGCAAAACTAAAGCCTTTTTCGTTATCAAAATCGCTAAAACCATTCTCGACGCAAGGACGCTTGGTGTCAACAAGAGCAGATGCAGCGATGAGGCGAGCCGCAACCTCCTAAGCACGCTGCTTAGCCATCTCAATGCCATCGAGAGGCGACGGAACGCTATTGTAAGAGCGAGGCACCGAATCTGGAGATGAGAAGCCGGTGGGCCTCCTTCCATCGGACGATGGAGGGGTCTAGTCCTCGTACTTTCGCTTGTTGCTGCCTACATCTGGACCTGATGACCTATCATTAGGTCATCTTCTCTAGCACAGCTGTGGACCTATCATCTTTGGGCCAATCTGGGTTTGAGAAAAACCCAGATTTGGGTTTAAGAGAAGAAGAAGAAGGTCGACGACAGTAGTAGCAAAGGGTTTGGCATGAATGATGACGAGATTGAACAAGGCACTGTCACCTAGAGGAGCGAAGAAGTGATCGAGCATCCACTCCAAACTCACACCCGAGCTGTGCTCACTGTCATTGATGGTGACGATCATCACTTACTTCTCTGCCGTTTGAGAACACCGAAAGCCTGGGTTTGCAAAGGTATCAAGCATCCACTCTAGTGCGTAGACGCTATGCTTGCTGTCATCGACGGCAATGATCATCACTTGCTTCTAAGCCGTTTGAGAAAACCCAGAGCCTGGGTTTACAAAGGTAAGAGAAAAGGAAAGGTAAAGGAGAGAGAAAATGAAAGAGGAAGAAGAAATCTGAAGTGGGTGAAAAAAAAAAAGAATTATTATTTTTAAATTAAATGAAAATGTCAACTTATAAAAAAAATATCAATTATATATATTTTTTCATGTCATTAGTTAAGAAAAAAAGAATTGATTTGCTGGTAAGTTAATGTGATACCTGTTATTTAACTAATGGAATGATCCTTTTGATATTGAAAATGAAAATTTAAAAATAAATTTGGTGTTTTTTAAAGTTAAAAAATAATTTTAATGTCAAAATGAAAAGTTAAGGGACCAAAATCATACCTAAACCAATAATTTATTTAATTTAAAGAGAAGAGAGTAGAACGATGAAAATTCTTTTATTTTGTTAATAAAAAATTTGAAGGAAAAGTTCTTTACTTTATTTTTCCAAATGAAGAAGAGGGAGAGAGCAATGAAAGAAAATGGAAGGATGTCATATCTTTCTATTTCCCTTTTTTACCATTCTCTCTATTTTCTTCAAAGGTTAAATGCTTAATTTGGTCCCTTAACTTTATGAAATAAACATTTTTGGTCCCTCAACAATTTTTTGCACTTTTTTGATCCCTCAACTATACGAAATGCACTCCGTTAGTCCTTCTGTTAATTTCGATCGTTAACTCGCTTATGTGGCATTTTTTATAATTTTTTTGATGACGTGGCAAAAAACAAATCGAAAACATGTAGACGTGGATTTTTTTTTTTTGCCAACTCACATTATTATTATTTATATTTTAAAAAAATAAAATAAAAAAACTCACCTTCGTCTTCTTCCTTTCTCTTTTTCTTTTTTCTCCTTCCTCTTCTTTCT